GGCCGGTGGCGGGAGATCGACCCAGAGCTAGGGTTCGCGAACGATCCTGGCGGTGGCTGCGATGGGTTGCGATCGGGAGATATGGAAGAGAGATGACGTGGGTTTTTTTTGATTATATATATATAAAAAATAATAATTATATTATTATAATTATGTTCGTGTATTCTTCACCCGTATACGTCCTCGCGGCGAAGTGTACGTCCTTGGCTAAAATCGACGTTCCGTACACACTGGCGTGGTCCGTTTCGTCATTCGGGGTCGTTTGGGCCACTTCTTTGACTATCGTGTCCAAAACGATAATTCGCGCATTTTTACCCCGCCCGCGAAGTCGTAGCGAAGTGGACATCCCCGTAAGTAAAATCGACGTTCCAGACACAGTGGCGGCGTCCATTTCATCATCCAGGGTCATCTAGACAACTTCGCCGACAAACGGGTCAATTTGAGCCAAAATAGCGCGCGACGCGCCACATAATATTTTTTTGCCCCGATCGGAGTCGTTCGACGTTTCAAATGCCGACCAGCCTTCAACTGAGCGAAAGTCATAGCCTAGCAAAACGACCCTGACTACGTGCCCCTCAACACACGTCAAAAAAGTATCGGGTAAGAGTCTCGAGCCACTAGACGTTGCGGACGAGCCGTAGATCATCTTAAGCCGTGCAAGTGGACACTCTACACTCGTGACATCAAAAATTGATGCCAACAATATCTTTTGGAGAGTTTTTGAGAAGAAATGTGTTGATATGACTTATATTAAAGTCATTAAAGATATGTATGCTAGAGATGCTACTTGTGTTTGAATTGAAGGAGTGACCAAATATTTTCCTATTTCTATTATATTACATCAGGGATAGATTTAGATGGTTTGGTCACATTAAATGTCGGCGATTTGATGATTCGATTAAGAAAGTAGATGTTTTAGATTCAACATATGTTAAGAAAGATTGAGGTAAACCTAGAAAGACTTGCGCATATTGTATAAAAATGATCTTAATTTATTAAAATAAAATGAAATATGACTCTAAATAGGAAACAAGGGAGAAAAGGGATTCATGTAGCCGAGCCCACGTAGTGGGATTAAGGCTTTATTGTTGTTGCTGTTGGTTCCTTTTGTCTAAACATTATGTTTAGCTACTCCTTTTAAAAATTAAGCCTCTGTTTGGCGCAGCTGTGGATTATTTATAATCTGCTGATAAGCAGATTATTCTGATAATCTGATAATTTACAGATTATCAGAATAATCTGGCTTATTGTTTGAGACAGCTTATTAAGACTAGCTTATTGGTAGTTAAATGACATTCCTGCCCCTGTCTGATAAAACTGTTTGGGGCAGCTTATTCAAAATAGCTTATTGATAGAAAAAAACATGGTGCAGAAACATACGATAATCATAGATCAGTTCTAAAAGATACCATACAGTTCTCACAACTTAATGAGTACCAGAAGAACTAAAAAAAGGACAAATACAAGTACAACAACAAGGAGAAAAATTAAAATATTCAACTTAAGACTCTGGCTACGCCTGTCCTCATCTCCACTGTCAGCCGGAAAAAACATCGGATTCACATGACTGCTGGCATGACTACTGTCAGTGTAATATGAGGGACTATCGGCCCACCTGAAGAAACCACAACGGGCTGAAACACCCCTGGCACAACCATAGAACTGCCTCCCAAAGCTATGCTCCTTACGTGACGTTAGCAACGGAGACGGTAGTCTACAATAACACAAAATCCCTCTGTATGTACCTGATATTCTGGAGGTCATGTTGGTATAACTGTGAAAATAACAAAAGAATGAAATGTCAACTTAAGGTATTTTAAAAAAAATCAAAATTAAATGCATATGAATATAAACTTATAATCTTATTAAAATAAAACTTGGTAGATCAACAACCACAAATAACATCTCTGATAGACTCCCTTAAAGCAATCATATCAGCCAAACTTTCAACATCTAGATCTTCAAAATCATTAGATTATATATCCTCCTCAGGTAATGAATGCCCCCCACATGTCCTGTTGGTTGCTCAAAAATATTGACTTCATCATTGTCAGCCATACTGAAGTCTGTATCTGATTG